GTTCCAGCCTCAGTTTCCCTTTCCATGTATTATCCTATTTATAAATTGGAAACCTTAGGAAAACGCGTTGGAAAACCGGAATCTCTGGGATGCTCCGCCGCATTCCCAAAACCAAAAACGGCCAAACGGGAAAGGCTGCGGTGCAAAACCTGGGATTTGGAGCGGGTGCTCAGCAAAATCCCAACTCCTTTCAGAAAATGAGGCCTTGGTGTTCCCACTGAKGGAATTTCAGAGCTGATTTTTCCTCGGAATCCCACAGGTCTCCCATTCCAACTGGGATGGAAATCCTGGGAGTGGCCCYAGGAGATTTTCGATTCCATGTTTTCCCTGGAGCTGAGGCTGCTCCAAATGGGAAAGAAGCCAAAAAACAATCCCAAGGGATCAATTTCCTGGGACAAACTGTGCAGTCAGTTTGTGCAACAGGGATGGCAGCTCCTGCCCCGCTCCTGCCAGGATTTTAATCCTGTGCTTGAAAAAAACAGGGAAAAATATCAGAATTGCTTTGCTGGATTGGGAATTCCCRTGGGGGATTAAATCCCGGGATACTCAGCATTGTGACAGTTCCCAGATTGCACAGGGCAGCTCCTTCTCCATGTTTTCCACACGGAAAAATGCCGTTTTATAGGGAATTATAACCCCATCCCCACTGCTGAGCTTTGGCTGATCCGTGGCCCTTTTCCCAAAATTTGGAGCCGAGAATYGGGCTCCGGATTTGCACATCCCAGGGTGGAGGTTTCGTTTTCCATCGTTAAACGCTCCGTTTTCCTTYGGTTTTTCCCCTAAAAGCCTCCCAGCCTCATTTCCGCCCCCATCCCAATCAAACCACCAGGACTCGCTCCAATTTTCTGGAGGTTTTATTATCCCGGAGGATCCGAGGGGCTGAGGACAGAAGCTGCTCCTGTTTGGCCCTTGGTTTGGGAGCAGGGATTTGTTGGGAATGTTGGTTGGTCCCTGCGTTTTTCCTGTCGGGATTCAGCCGTGATGGAAGAATCTGGACATTCCTGGAGTCTTCTCCTGGAATCTGCAGTGGGAATTCAGGTCCAGAATCTCTTGGATTTGTAGGGACTCTGGAATTTTCCATCCCGGTGTAATTCCCTGTGATCCTGAACCAAAATCTGGGAGCCAAAGGGGCGAGGGATCCATGTGGGAATGCCGAACACGGGATGCTCATCCCCCATCCCATTGGGAATGCTGCTGTCTATCCCAGGAGAGACAGGGAACCAAAATCCATCCGGGAATTTCCTTTGGACATGTTCAAGGCCAGGTTGGAAAAGGATTGGATCCACCTGGGATCGTGGGAGGTGTCCCTGCCTGCAATGGGATAGGCTTGGAATTCTCGGTCTGGAATTCTCCGTTTGGAATTTTTGGTCTGGAATTCTCAGTCTGGAATTCTCTGTCTGGAATTCTCAGTTTGGAATTCTTGGTTTGGAATTCTTGGTCTGGAATTCTCTGTCTGGAATTCTCTGTCTGGAATTCTCGGTTTGGAATTCTCGGTTTGGAATTTTCTGTCTGGAATTCTCGGTTTGGAATTCTCGGTCTGGAATTCTCTCCGGAGACGATTCCAGCGGGAAATCCTATTTCATTCCCAGCATTCCCCTGGCAAACCTGGGAGAGAAGGATCCGGGGCATCCGATTCTGTAAAAACGGGAATTTCCACAGGGAAAACACCAAAACCTTCCGTGTTCCCAGTCCAGACTGCGGGGTCTGGAGTTTCCGTGTTGGGAGGATCCCGTGGGATTCCAGTGTGTAAATTTGGGTTGGAGCATCCGGAAAAAAACCATCTCCATCCCATTTCTTTTCCCTGAACATCCCGCTCCGGTTGTGYCTCCTCCCAATCCAGCCAGGAGGCAGATTTGAGGGATTCCCTGTGTGTGAGGAATTCCCTGTGGCTTCCCGTTATCCAGGGAATCGGCTGGAATTTGTTCCAGACCGCCCGCGCCTGCCTTATCCGCGATGATGCCAAAAGCACTGTGATTCCCAATGAAATGCTCTGAAACCTTCCCGTTCCC